TCTCAAATATAAAACATTTTTTAAAATTTGATGATTTTTTTGTGTGTGTATATCACACAGAACATCCAAACCGTCTTATTCAGCTATACACCCACTTCCCAGATGGCACCCTCCCATAGCCTCCCCGTTCCCACATACTGGAGCCCATGCACTCTGTCATCCCTGTTACTGTCCACTGTGTTGTTGGTGCCCCCAGCCATTCCCCAGTGCTTGGCCATCTGCTGAATATAGTCATCCTATCTAGACATCTCTGTTTTAGTAAGATCAGCTGTTCCTCATCTAGCAGCAATAAGTTGTCAATATTCCTTCATATAAGATTGGGGTCTGCCATTGTTCTATGCTGGGTTACTATCTGGGAGTCCCTTTGGCCACCCTGGCCAACAACTCAAAAGAAGGTATCTACTATCTGGCATCGTTGCTTGTTATGTAGCCTTTAGCTATGCATTTGGACTCTTAAGAAATTGTATTGGCCCCTTTAATCTTTGGTTATACTTTCCGTTTGGGTGTTTAAGGCCATACAGTTGGCTCAGATAGACCAATTTATTTTTACTCTTAAGGTCGTTTGAGGATCTGTTCCTCGGGGTCACAAGGGCTTGGGAGGAGCCCCTGTCTCTTTTCTTTTACCAGTTCTGTCTATTTGAAGATAAGTCAAAGGTCCTGCTCAACCATGGCTGGCTTCACTTGGAAGCTAAAAATTTACAGCCACCTTTGAAAGAGATGTATCCTTGCTCTGGAATGTGTTACTGAATATGTTAAAACTGTAATGAAATGCTTTTTCTAATCATGTGGTTATTAAATTTTTAAAAAATTAAAAAAATAAAATAAACAAAAAAAAAAACAAGATTAAAGCTGGGCATGGTGGCACATGCCTTTAATGCCGGCACTCAGGAGGCAGAGGCAGGCAGAGGCAGGCCGAGGCGGGCAGAGGCAGGCAGATCTTGAGTTGAAGGCCAGCCTAATCTATATAGTGAGTTCCAGAGTTCCAGGCCACCTGGGGCTACAGGAAGACCCTGTCTCAAAAAGATGAAAAAAATTAATATCTAAACTAAAGGCACAATGGAACTATCTAAGGTAAATTTAAGATCACTGTTATATATTTGCTTGGGTCCCTATAATACACAAATTTAGAGGTCATAGTAAGACAATCTCCAC